CTGAAGGAGGTGAGGGGATTAGAAGGCAGGCAGAGCCGAGGGCAATCAAGGACCTGGTAACTGTTGCTCAAAGGAGCAGACACTGGCAGTGGCTGAACAAACAAGAGACCATATGGGCCGCCAGATGACCGTGTAAGCACTAGACGACACACTCCACCGTGTCTGATCAGCCCCTTGTGGCACTCCTACCACAGATACTATGTAGGAAAAATGGCCAAAACACCCAATGAGGCTGGAGTACAGAACTGAAGATGTGTCCTGTTAGGGAAAACATCATTGAATAGTCATCTTCAGTACACCGCACCAATATGGACACCACCAAACCAGATGTTGAACCTAGAGTTTTTTTTATTCATTTCACTTCATTTTAATTGACTGGGTTAAAAAATAACTGTTGTAATTTATTTTTACTCTTCACTTTATTTTTTTTAATGATAATGTTTAAACATTCATTAGCATTTGTTTCACTTTAGACAGGAACTGAGTCTTATGGAGCCCGCGAGAGGACATGGGGGATTTTATTTTCTTTTTGTGTCCCCTCGCAAAAGTCGTTTATCACTGTTGTGCCTGTTGGTTTATTAACAAATTCACCTGCTCACCATTAGCAAGTTAGCCTACTGCTTTAATTCAGCTTCAGAATGAATATATCACACAGCCACGCATGGAAGTATGTCATATGCCGATATTTTAACACAGTGCAGCCACGCAACATCAATGTCAATTTCACGAACTTGTGGCGACACATCCTGTTTTGGTAACTCGATATTTCAAAATAAAAGTCTGATTTAATTCAGTTCATATACAAAACAAACTTTTGCGTGGGAACACGAAACAATATTGCGAGGTAACGCAAAAGTATTGTGAGGGAACGCAAAAGTATTGTGAGGGAAAGCAAAAGTATTGTGAGGGAACGCAAAAGTATTGTGAGGGAACGCAAAAGTATTGCGAGGGAACGCAAAAGTATTGTGAGGGAACGCAAAAGAAAAAATCCCCCCATGTCTCCTCGCGGGCTCCGTAGAGTCTAAACTGTTGTGTTGACTCATAAGCTTCTCAGTCCTTACAAAAACTGTACATGTTGCATTCCATTTTTACTCTTAAACAAACTTGTATGCAACAACAAACTGATTAGAAACATGTATTTTGTCTTCATTTTATGATGTAAAGAATTTGTCTTTTTTGGGGCTTTCTGACAACCTGCTTTGAGATTTGTGATTCTTGAGTGTTTCAAGCCTGGAGTTAGGAGGGACGATGCAGCTACTGTATGTGAAATGATGGATTTAGGCCACAATCCATGCGGAGACTTAAAAAGAAGGTCTAAACCGAGTGAGCTTGTGCCACTAACTCCTGCTCAAGTGAAAACACAATATGCTCCCTTATTGCGACCGAACGGGAGAGCTTCTTACGGTGACTCTGGAATCGAGCTCGGCAAAAACAGATGGAGCTTTTCACTCCACAGGCAGTGTCACTCATTGTTTTCAAATGTAGTGGAAGCTATAATTTTGTGTCTCTCTCTGCAATCTGTGGTCCCACCATCTCAAAGGAGGAGCAGCAGAATGCACATTTGAACTGAACCGAGTTGAGCAAGCTGCGAGTTAACAAGTCTTGACAGCACATCTTTAAGTGAGCACATGAATGCTAATCTGTAAATGACCCTGACCCTACATACAAAATGATGTAAGGTGATAGCTCTTGAAACTATGTAGGTTTAAGAATTGTGTCGCTACTGTATAGGTTTGGCCTTCTTCTGCTTTCATTTGTAAAAAAAAAAAAAAAAGCAAAACATAGTATAGCTAATTTTATGCACCAATAGGATCCATTTCACGTCTTCTGTAAGAACAATGACAGCTAAATTAATCGCTGTCATAAATGTATTCTAATCAAACAGTCTGTGGTCGGAAAGCTTTATTTCAAATTCAGCTGACTTGTAAATTACACCATTATTATGAAGTGAACGGAAGAGGCTGATGTGTGTGTGAGTGCCATGATACAATCTCATGAATCACCATTTATAGAGTATTACTTTGTTCCATACAGTATTTCACATTTTATTATTACAAGCGCAATTAAAATCAGTTGGTCTGGACATTGTTTTAGTTTCCCTAAGTTTTCCCAGAGTCCAACTTAGTTTTCCAAACCCGTGCTGCAGCATTAAGATACAAAAGCTGTGTAATAGCTACTACTGGTTCCAACTTTCCACGGTCTACGACATGTTTCTTTGCTTTCTGCCAGACTCGGTTCAAAAAGATGCGGCGCAACAGTTTAAGCAGTATCCTAGCAGGGGCTGCAGCAGTTTTAACAGTGGTCAGTGCTGGCTGTGTGACAGAGCCAGAATTCACATAAACCACCGTAGTGAAGAATGTGTCATGGGCACGCATCACAAGGAACACACACTGCACTACACAATACTTTAAATTACAAGAAAGGAATGTGTTGTTCTCTGCACTGTGGTGTGGATGTTTAATCCATGCGTAGCTTCAGTTTTAGCTAAGGAAATACGAATAAGAAACAGGTGCAGCAGGTTATAAGGACAAAGTAACAGAAGTAAAGCAGTCTAGTTAAGGCTCCGCATACCAAAGATGCAAATTTGTCTCATTGATGTAGTTGCATGGCAGAAAATTTGTTTGCAGAGCAGCTCCGCCTGCCCCTTCTCGACACAAGGCCCAAGCCAAGCTATTTCTCACAGGCGAACGCGCCAAGTATTATGTGATTGGTCAGAAGTTCGTGGGCATATTTCTTAATGCAGAAAAGTGCTCAGACAACAAAGGTGGCTGCTGTGCATCCAAATAACATGGAGAGTTTTAAGGAGCAATTGTCCGAAGCAGTCCATCTATATGACTCCTTAAGACACTTGAAGAAAGGAGTCAAATAGCCAGTCATTCATGGGTGGTGATAGCAATGTACACAAAGGAATCCATCTGCTGAAAAGTGTGACCCTCTATCCGTATCAAATTTGTGGCCAAACAGCAGATATTTGAGTGGAGACTTAAATAAATCCCTGTGCTGTGATGTTTACAGCAGTGGGAGGGGTTTCCAAGGAGCTTTTGTACCGTGTGTTTCCTAGGCTATGAAAGGTGTGCATGAAAACGAATGTCCCGCAACTAGAGGTGTAAATCACCAGCTTTATCACAATATGATATTATATTGATTTGTTTGGATGACACAATTTTTCTCGATAACACAAAGTCTGTCATGGTAAAATTTCGATTCACTTCACAAGTCTGCAATTGATATGATGCCTTATCATATGCCCATCTAAGACAAACATTTAGTAAATGATTGTGTTAGATGGGCCATATGAATCTGATGGCATCGAAATGACTGGCATCCTCACAGTTCCCCTTTAAAGAAAAGGAGCCTTGTAACAGTAATACACACTGATGATTCATTTGTAGGGATGTCCCGATCAGATACTCAGTATCAGAATCTTTGGCAGATACGGCCATTTTTTGAAAATCGGGTAGAATCGGATTTAGTCATGTGATCGCGCCTATCCAGTTTTCGTGACAGTTTTCAGCCTCATCATGCTTTATAGCTGCCGTTAAGAAGTCAAGACGCACACAAGTATGCAACCATGTCCGCAGTGTGGGAACACTTTTCAATGGAAAACAATGATGCTGAAAACAAAATCTGCAAACTGGATGTTTCTCGTGGTGGGAACAGCAGGGCTCGCTTTAATACAAACAACCTTGTCACTTGGAAAGGAATAAAGCTATCGGATCGGTATCGGATTGGTATCAAATCGGTATCAGAAAGACTAATCATTCAAAAAATCGGATTGTATCGGGAGCCAAAAAAATCTGGATTGGGACATCCCTATTCATTTGATCCTTTTTCTGAACTTTAGCACAAGATTATAAGCTGTTGTTGGTGTAATAAGTGACAATATTTTTAAAAGAAATACATATTATAAATTTTAAAAATTGCCACAAATAAATTATCAAACTATTTAATGGCACGTTTAACCTAAGAAGTATGAAACATGTGAAATACATATAAAACATACTGAGTTTTTTTTTAACAAGAGCTTTTTGGAGAAAAAATGACAATACACTGTATGACCTTGCTTACAGTATTGCATTATATCGAGATGTACCGTATTTTCACCCGTGTCATAATATGTACCGTATCACCAAATTCTTGCCAGGACACAGCCCTATTATTTTTTCATGACGAAAATGTTGTCATCTCATCTGACTAAAATACCTTTTGTCATGTGCTCAGATGTCTACCCAATTCATTTTCAGAAACTCTCCATGTAGTTTGTGACGTTTTCTTTAAGCACTGTCCATTTTCCTGACTACTCGTCCACAAAGTCAAGCTTCGAGGTGCATTTGTCTTCAAGTGACCTTGTTGATAAACAGTGTCCGCTGTGACAATTTGCAGCTCCATTAGTGGATCTGAATGTCTGTGTTCCTATGCTGATTAATGCTTTCCGAGCTTGTTCTGTGATTTGCAGGTTGTTTGTCTTTTTATGACTGACAATTTTACAATTTTGTGTGTTGGTAAAAGAAGTAGTCATTACATTTTTGCTTCATATCAAGATCATTTCATTAAATTTGCTGAAGAGACCATTTGCCACATACTGTATGGGTTTTCTCTGGGTGCTCCAAATAAAATGCCTTTTAGGTTAATTTGTAACTAAATTGTCTCTAGGTGTGAGTAAGAATGTGAGTTGTCTGCCTTATTTGTTTCTGTGTCCCTGTGATGGACTTGCAACCTGTCCAGGGTGTACCCACCTCTCACAATAACTACTGGAGATAGATAGGCACCAGCTGTCCCATGACCCTGAAAGGAAACAGCGTGTAATTACAGTGGATGGATGCACTAACTTTATGACCGAAACAAAGAAAACAGATTTGCTGAACTTTTAGACCGTGTCGATTTGCTTAAGTTGATCTCTCTTGAGACTGCGATGCATTTTTTAAATGTATTAATTCACTAAACGATGACAGAAATGAACAAACATGTCTTGACTAACCTTTACATTTTTTGTTGTTTAGGGTTTCATCGCAATGAGGATATGAAGGCTATTGATGTGCTTCCCATCCTCAAGGAGAAGGTTGCCTTTCTCTCAGGTCAGTTGTAAATATCACTGTTACTCACAATGTGCTAACCAAACCTCTTACTCATATTAATGTTACAGAAAAGGACTAAGAAGTTAAGAATCACTGTCTAGATTTTTGTTATCCAGTTGTTTCAAATTAGTTTGTTAACCATTGTTTGTTCCAGTAGTAGAGTATGTAGAACTGGACATTCTCATTTAGGTATTTTTCTGTTTGCAAGGCAACAAAATAGACAATGCAGACGTGTTTTTAAAGTCAAGAAAGTAATTTGTGTGTATGTATTTGTTGTTGTTGAAGACCCACTTTTTTAAAATGATAAACGCTTAAAACAATGCTAGTAGTAAATACATTTGAAATGATATGCGTGGGAAATGATAAAATTCATCACAAAAATGTATTTTTTTTTCCCCATTTTCTTAGAGTTTTCTCAAAGTATTTTGTTTACTAATTTATTTTACTACGGTTTAATACATTCAGTTCCAGTTGACACATGTACTGTAACCAAGAGCAACAATGTCAAAACCACTCAACTAGGGCTGGGCGATTAGTTGATCGCGATTATTGATCGAGAAAAAATTCAGGTCGATCACAGTGATCAACTGTGAGCCTGTTACTCTGGTTCCTTCCATAACAAACGTAATGAGCTTCGATCCTATTCAGTTGGCAATTGTGCACAAATTGTTGCTGTTTTGTAGGGTTTATGTTTCTTAATGGCATATTTAATGTGAAATTAAATTCTAAAACTTTAATTTTACAAAAGGATTACTTTATTAATGTGAGATTCTATGATTTACACATAAAAGTTTTTTTTTTCTTGGTAAATACCTTTTTAAATACATTGCAAAAATATTTTCATGTTCTGCTGAACCACAGCTATTTGTTATATAAGTGAAAGTGAAATAACAGCCATTATTTTTATTTCTGTAGCTATTTATTTGTGAAATAATTTTTCAGTCACTTTTTAGGTTCACAAAAATTTGTGACATTAATCAAGATCAGACGATATGAAAAAATTGATCATGATAATTTTTTTGCCATATCACCCAGCCCTACACTCAACTAACCTAAAGTCCGCTGTAGTCACAAAGCTAAAAATATTCTAGTATTTATACTGTATACTTTAATGAAGCTGCATAAACTACTCACTTTAATTACAAACGTGCCAGCTGTGTGTAACTTCCCAGATTAAGTAGCTTGAAAATGAAGGCATAGTGATAACATCACCAGTTTATGAAATTAGCTAGCTCCAATCACTTGTTTTGTAGATTTATTCAGCAGAACAAACCTGCATTAAGGGTAAAAGATAATTTTTTACTTTGTTGTTCCAGTTGTGGATCCCTAACAGTGCTAATACTTTTAGTGTTAGCTATGCTAATGGTTCTCACAATTTAGTACAGGTAATGTTTTCTGCTTTCTTCAGCTACAGTTTTTATAAACGTCATAGAACTGTGTAGTTTAATGTTTGCCATGTTAGCTTTGTGGCTAACTAGCTTATCATGTAATCAGCTAATTGACCTTTTATTACCTCCACCAAGGGCGAGGTAATGTTTTCGGTCACGTATGTCTGTCTGTCGTTCTGTCGTTCTGTCCGTGGACAACAATACTCAAAAACTTGTGGATGGATTGTCATGACATTTTTACCACATGTGGGTACTGGCTCAAGTAACACACCTTTGAATATTGGCGATGTTCCGGATCACGATGCGGATACAGGATTTTTTTTTTAACGCTGTGATGCTTTCACAGGTCGTGGGTTTCAAAGTGTCCAGCAGGTGGCACTGTAGTATTGGTGTGCCCCTTTGTAACTCTATTACAGGATGGGGGAAATTGGTCTTGACGGAGGTTTGCACTCTCCGAGTGCTTCTCTGCACTCATTCTGACATCTTGGCAACAAAAATAATGTTAAATCAATGTTAAATTTAGGATTCATTAATCTAGCTGTTTCAGATTTTATCTATACTCTATCCAAAAGGAGCAATATGGATAGTATTTCTTTCCTTTTTTTTTACAATAACAAACCAAAATAAAAACAAACAAAAAGGGAAAAAAAAAGCAACAACTTTCTACCTTTTGCCTCTTTTAAAATGTGTTGTGTAGAAAGTACAGATAATTGTGCAAAAATGTAAGGAGTAGAAGTAAATATAGGCTGAAAAATAATTACTCGAGCAAAGTACAGGTAACCAAAATTCTTACTTAAGTGCATTAACAAAGTATTTGTACTTGGTTACATTACAACTCTGATTAAGACATTTCATTATCACAATTTTGTAATATTAAATGTTTATAAACACTTTTGTATATATAAGTCAATACAAAAGCAGGATAGCTATGAGGTTTTTGAGCACTTTATGCCTGATTTTACGCATGAATTTTGAAAATTATTTGAGTAGAGGAAAAGTGCAAGTACACTACAATAAGTAAAGTAGTACAAAACCATAAATAAGATATATTGAGAAAAAATATGGTCACACTTTCTGACTTAAAGTTCAAATGACATTAGCATAATTATAAGAGAAAGATTAGTTTCTTGTTTGTTGTCCGTGTTGTTTATTAACTTCATTGTGACTCAAAAGCTCTTGTCATCATAAGACTAATTTGACCCTTATGTTTCAGTGACTCAGCACATCCATGACTAACTGCAAACTTATTAGCAGTTGGCACTGGTACAAATTGAAAGTTATCTCACAACACTCCAGCATTCAGTTCAGTTATCGGTTCATTTTGTTGGAGGCTATTTACCTAATTTAGCAGCAACAAAAAATGTCTGTTTTAGATCTGAGTAAGCCCAGACTTTTTAAACAGAAATCTTTGTTTTAGGGAAGTGAAAACTCATTTATTTTCTCCACCCACTTAATCTTGTGAAAATAAAAGCTCTTTCTGAAGGTCCAGCTGCTTCAGCAAACTTTACTGCAGAATCTGAAACAGATATTCAGGCACAAAAATGTACATTACTCACTCTTTTGATAATTTTATGTTTTTTACAAAGGTGGCAGAGACAGACGTGGAGGTCCAATTCTCACTTTTCCAGCACGAAGCAATCATGACAGAATACGACCCGATGATCTGCGCAGACTTGTAGCGTACCTGGCTACTATTCCAAGGTAGAATGCAAACACACAAACACACACAAAGCACACACAGGCTGTCGATTCTGGATATTTGCTTTAAATGTGGTCAAGCACAAACACTCAAAGTGCCTTTATTAATTATTGTTTATTGTTTATCATTATAAACTAAAATACTTTCTAGTGAACTGGGGGGTATTGTGTATTTTCCAGACACATACTAGTTCAGTTTAGTACCACATAAAGTAACTATGTTACCTTCAGTTGTTCTGAAAAAGCTGCACGTTTTAAAAACAATGCTTTGGAGGAGAGGTGCTCAGACTGAGCTCCAGGGAGGAGCTGTGTACAAATAGGCGGTGCTTTGTACCAGCAAGTGTTTAGATAGCTCCACATGGATACCACAGGAGATTGAAGGATTTCTCAAACATGCATGAATGAGTCAAAGCAACACTCTGGGTATGTTTTTGATAAGGGACATAATAATGTAACATATTGTAACATTATACTGTACATTACTTGAACTGTAAATCGACTGTAAAAATACTGTTCAAAAATACGTCACACAGACGGCGCCATTTTTCAACACTGCAAAGCATACCGGGTTAATGATGAAGTTCACTAGTTTTTCCGGTGCGAGACTGTCAAGCTCTTATTCACCCTAAAGGTTCATCCTGAACAAAATCTGATGATCAGCACTTGTAAATGAAACCAGGGTGTGTTGACTGGAAGGATAATTTAGAAATGACACAGTCTGCAACTCAAAATGTGTACAGAGGACAATAGAGCTGCTACATGAACTGGAGAAGTCCTCGTGTTAATGCCAAGCTAATACATATATATGGTTAGCATCTGAGCTAATACATTTTTGTATATGTCGACATATCATTAGCTATGTTTAAACTAAGGCCTCATACTTATTAGTAGTATACAGTATATACTGTATATATATATATATATATATACACACACACACACATATACATACACATACACATACATACACATGTAGCATTAGTTCCAATGCTAACAATATTAGCGCTATGCTCCTGCCCCTATTCACCTTTGCATACAGCCATGAAATTAGAGGTATATTAGTAATTAAGAACTGACTGCGGTGATAAAGTTAATAACATAACATGTTCACAAAAAATACTTAGCATCAGTCTATTTTGGTCATGGCTACACTGGAACTAACTGTTAGCCAGTCAGAATTAAACATAGGTTGTTCAAGGAGCTATCTAGAACAGGTAAAATATTCATTGTTCATAAAGTCTTCACATAATCTCATTTCTTTACTATCTTTTAAACAGTTTTTCTTTTTATTTGTGGGGTTAAACATTTTTGGAGCTCACCCCATTTGAAAATCATACTCTAATCTTATTATCCAAGTAAAAGCTGTGTTAAATGACTTTTGTTGTCTAACATTATTGTTTATTTCTAAAAAAAAAAAAGTAGTTAACATAACCTTACGTTTAAGGACCAACACAATACACACGTTTCATTGTGTCTCTGTAACAGACATTCCCACCCTGCTTAAATTAAAAAAAATAAAATAAAAAACACTGAAAGTAAACCTGGGGCTACAAGGAGCAGGACTGGTTTTGGTTTATGCCCCCACCCCCATCATTCTCTTTTCAAGTTTTTCATTTCCTTTTAGCTCTCTAGAAAAACTACTGTTAACCCTCTTTGTGTTAGTTATTATTAGTTTAAAATAAAAGGAAGATGATAACATTTAAACATTTTGTCATTTATTCACCACATCATCAACAGTATAGTGTCTTTTTTAAAGTAGGTGCCAATTTTTTCCTGTTATTTTCTGTTCAAATAGACTTGAATGTCAAAACTTAAACCATGAAGCCACAGGACTTACTTGCAGAACTTCACTGAAGGCACCTTTACTTCATAGCTCGGGGGTGTTCTGTTTGGACTCACTTGTGATTAACTTCAAGGGCAGATTGTTCTCCTCCGTTCTGGAGCCTCTGATCTTCATCGTGCTGCACATCCTCAGTGCTTCGCTGCTTTTAAATCTTTCTTAGGTTTACAGTTTTAAACCTTGTCTCGAGATGAGAGGTAGTTCAGATCAGTTTCAGAAAACCTTACAGGTCTAACACTTCTGTCAAATGTGTTTTACCACAAACTTAATGTGTTGCCTCTACGTCTAAATTTTTGTTTCTGTGGCACTTTAATAATAACCGTATTTTAGCTTTATTCTTTAAGCTCTCTGTGACATTGCAATGACTATATGCACAAACCTCTATTATATTTGGCACAGCAGATACACTTTATTTTGGCCATGGTAGAATTTTACCAACTGTTATGAATCAATAGTTGGTTCAGTAATTGACAGTTTTTTATTTGGCCTTTATCTTCAATTTCATCTCACTCGCTGCTAAATAATCTTAAATGCTAAGTTTAAAAGGTAAAAGTCTTCATTTGCTTTTGTGGTTTTAAAATGTCTATGACATGCATCTCACTCAAATACAAAAAGTAAAAGAAAACATCTTTATATATAAGAAACATACACACAATTTTACACATTTTGTCACAAAACTGACAGATTTCTTCAGAATTTGGCTCTCAGCCAAAGTCAAACAGGAAGTAGGAAGTGAAACTCTGTTTTTCTTTTTTTAATTGTTAACAATATAATTTGAACTCTGACTCTTCATCTCTTTGTTAGTGACTCGAAATATCCTAAAGAAACATCTGATTCTTCTTTACAATCTGTGTTGTTAGCCTTGTAGCAATGCTCTGTTTACATGCAGACATTCCCTTTTGACATCACTTCCTGTTGCTTCACATGCAAATTTCTCAACAACTCTTCATCTCAGCAGTATAAAGTTATTTTTGCAATATGCTATCAACGTTGCCTTTCCAAAAATGCATTCATATTTATTGCAAATAAAAAAATTGGATGCAAAAAAAATTTGGATGTCACAGGCACTTTAAACAAAAAATAGTTGTATGAATACGAAAATACCAAACACACATTTAGTTATTTTATTATGAATATGCTGGGCCTCACATATGCAATCACCATTCTCTGAATTAGGACTCAGAGACTGATAAAGTCTGTGAGCAAACCCTTGAACTGAACTCAGCTTTTAGGAGGTTTTATGAATTTCCTTTCCTAAATTTACTTCTCTCCTTCTTTTCTGTTCCTACAGTTTCCCCTGTTTCCTCTCCTCTCTGTCAGACNAAAAAAAAAAAATTAAATAAATCTCCGCTGCTCTGTTTGCAGAGAGTGAGGGCACAGTGAGACAGAGCAGGAGAGTCTGCGTCTGTTTCTGTCTTATAGCTAGACGCGGTCAGATTAAAGCCCTTAATGCAGGGAAATAACCTTTTATGGCCTTGTCCAGCAGCGTGACTCCTGGTAAGAAGCTGTGGAAATTTTACCACTTAAATGTTTTAGCTGTTCCTTTTTCTTTCCCCTCTGTAGATGGAGGGAACGTTTTACCTTCTGGCCAAAGGTTTTAAGTAAAAAAAAAACTGATCGGTAACTCCTCTGCGTCTTGTCAACGTTGCGTCCTAACCCTCTTCTTGTCATTGCGCTCTGCAGTGAGGAGGTGGCCCGGCATGGCTTCACCGTCATCGTGGACATGCGCGGTTCCAAGTGGGACAGCATCAAACCGCTGCTGAAGATCCTGCAGGAGTCTTTCCCTTCTTGCATCCACGTTGCTCTCATCATCAAGCCAGACAACTTCTGGCAGAAGCAGAGGACCAACTTTGGCAGCTCCAAGTTTGAATTTGAGGTGAGCTCAAAAAGGGTTCTGTTCTATTTCTAGTGCAACAAATTTATCATTTATAATTGTTATATTATTATACCATTATATAATTCTCTGGTTTATTACTTTCAACAACATATCAGTGTTTTCTGTATGTCAGATAAGCAATTTAGATATATTCCTTGATCCAAATAGCCATCAGCCATACTGTCAGCTCTAACTGGACTGCTGTTGTGTGACAGAAGTACTGTTCTGTCCCGTGTGTAGCTGGTATATTTAGTTCTGACCCAGTTACTATGGAAACAGCATATATAGGGCATGGCAAAGAATTTTATCTCAAATTTAGTCGGATGACTTTGGAGAATAAACTTCTTGTGTGCCGGTTGTGAGAAACTTTAAGGTCGTCCACGTGTTGATCTTTACTAAAGTTCAACATGTTTCCCCAGCATTCCCTGCTGCTAAAAAATAAAAGTTTGCAGTTTCAGGAACCAAAAGCCAAACTACTAACACTGACATACACAAAAAAAAACTTTTCCTTTTTGCCACAGTATTATTCAGGGATATATAAACTTTAAACCTTTTTTTCTCTCTGTTGGTTTCCTAATCTAAAGGTCGACATAGATATTTACATTCAAAGCATAATCTGATAGTAGCTCTAAATCCTCCCGTTTATTTGGTGTTTTTCTTCTGTCTGCCTTACCTCCCTGAAACTCAGCACTTTATATATGTATGTGTGTATTTTTCTCTTATTAGTAATAACAGAAATGTTCATTTTTTTCCTCCCACACCCTTAGTTTCAACAATAGACATGAAGAGTTGCAGATTTTTCAAATTCTTCTCAAATCCTTGGTTTATTTGTTGGAAATGTTTGGAAAGGGGAGGAAAATTATTATTCTGTAACCTCCAAACAGAGCCGGCTCTTGGCATAGGCGAACTAGGCGTCGTCTAGAGCGTCATCTGCTGGAGGGGGCGCTGAACTGCAGAAGAACAAAAAGTAATTATTTGTAATCCCTGGTTGTAACTCTGCTCAGTGCCCCTTTCAGTTAGCTTTATCTTAAAAAACTATAATGAAGTATTACAGGAAAAATAAACTACTCTACCCATAAAACATCCCCCATCAATGGAGCAAATGCCCCCACCCTCTCTCTCATTTGATTGACGTTGCACTGACTTGTCCTGCTCCGACACTCTGACGGGGGAGGGGCTAGTAGTGCCTCTCAGGTAGCAGTTCATGTTGACAAACTCAATAACAACAAGCCTGTATTTTGTTGTCCCATACATGTCAACCTCTTCAGACATATACCTGTATAAAAAGCCTCAAAAATCTATAAATCTTGCAAAAAAATCCATACAACTGGGGGGTGGGGGCAAATAAGTCTAAGTTTACCATAGTACTTTACACTGTCAAACTTGTTTTTAGGGGTTTAAATTGGGGTGGGTGGGACATAGTTGGGGGGGGGGGGGGGGAGGCTGCGCTTCAACTCGCCTAGTGCACCAAAATGGCTAGAGCCAGCACTGCCCCCAAAGCTTGTTCTCCTCCCTTTTGTTCACTTGTTCGATGTTAGTTATATATTTTTTTCTTGCCTTTGTTGTTGTATCGCTGTCTACTTGCTCCAGACGGTGATGGTGTCCTTAGAAGGCTTAACCAAGATCGTGGACCCTTCCCAGCTAACGGCTGACTTCGAGGGCAGCTTAGAGTACAATCATGACGAATGGATTGAGGTTTCCATATTTTCTTCCCCATTTTATGTCAATTGAAATCCAAAGTAAAAAAAAAAATCTGATAAGATTTTGATTCAGTTTCAATAAATGTTCCTTCTAGGTGCGGCTTTCTTTTGAGACCTTTGCCAGCGACGCGGCTCGGGCTTTGGCACGCCTCGAGGAGCTCCAGGAAACCCTGTCCCAGCGCGACCTCCCGCGGGACTTGGAGGGCGCTCGGCGGCTCATGGAGGAGCACGCCGCGCTCAAGAAGCGAGCCACCAAGGCCTCCGTGGAGGAGCTCGACGCGCAGGGGCGACGGCTGCTCCAGAGGCTGCAGGCGCAGACCGCGGGGGGTGGGGACGGCGGCTACGGCAACCGCGGCGTCGGAGCCAGCGGGGACTCCAACGACCACCACCATGGGCTCCACGCTCAGCACGCCGACGCTCACAACTTGGTGGCCAAAGTGACGGCTCTGTTGGACAAGCTCCACGGCACGCGGCAGAATCTGCAGCAGCTGTGGCACATGAGGAAGCTGAAGCTGGACCAGTGCTTTCAGCTGCGACTCTTCGAGCAGGATGCTGAGAAGGTCAGAGCACTTGTTATAAGTCAGAGAGTTAGGTTCTAGATTTAGCTTTGTGTAAATACTTGCAGTTAGAAATTGTAGTTATAGTCAGGTGGTGCTTCAACACCACTGTTCTCAGAGATTAAACTTGCAAGCGATTGTCGCCTCCCCGCACAACTTCCATAGGAAATGAATGGAGAGCGAGCGACGTCGCTTTCCGTGTGTCGAGCCCTTTAGACGCTGACGTCTCCTCTGATGGCTGATGATGAGCGCTAGTGTCGTGGTAGCAGCATGTGTTTACATCCGTTGCCGCCATGTTTGTAATGACTTATCACGAGAACAAACGTATTCATGCGTGACTTTAATAGCATTTCTTACTAAATGGAAACACCGCAATTGCGAAACTATGTTTTTCGAAATTAACAGAATATCGACAAAGTTTTGCGCACATTTGCAATGGAAACACAGATAGAGAAAGTTTGTTTCCAGATGTCACCCTGTGATCAGGATCAGGGATGAAAGGTTTTTCATATTCGCAAACCCCAAACAACAAGCCCTGTTCTCATTGTTGTTACTCAGCAAGAGATGGAAAGGCTTTTCCTTTGAAATACCTAAAAAAATACATTTTAAAAAATGTTCTGTTCTCTCCACCTCATGTGTTTATAGATGTTCGACTGGATCATGCACAACAAGGGGCTCTTCCTCACTAGCTACACGGAGATCGGAGGGAATCACCAGCACGCTGTTGAGTTGCAGACGCAGCACAACCACTTTGCTATGAACTGCATGGTAAGGGACAGTCTCCAATTCTAACATGCTCATCAAGAGGCATGGAAATATGCATATGTTTACAAAAACTACTATGACATTCTTGAGATTCAAGTCGTTTTGATATTTCATCAACCCACTCCATTTTTGTCCACGCTTGGTTTAGCCGTTAGCTCGTCACACTGGTCAGAATTAACTTAAGCTAACCAAAACATTAGCTTTGCTAATTTATAAACCGCTAACAAAAAATATAGCAGTGCTAAATTTAAACTGCTAAACATATAAAAGAAAATAATAAAATATCGGAAGCTAGCACTAACGGCTAATTTCTAACCGCTAAAATGACTGTCACTCAGTCTGCATCAGATGTCTTTGTATCCTTCGAGCTGCAGACTTGATTCTGTTGGTTTCATTCAAAGGTGGGCGGAGTCATTTGTGGCAATTCAGCCAATCTAAAGTTATAGCCCTGCCCAATGCAGCTGAACACACAATGATGAAATGAAGACAAATGAAATTAAACAGTTTTTCATTTTATCTTTATTTACTGTATAAAAATATTAAGAAAATCAAAAGGCCTTTGTCTTTCACTACTTTATATCTATGCTGTAACTATAACTTGCTATACATTTTTTTAAAATAAATATAAAGAATATAATATATCTATACCTATTTATACCTACCTAACCTTAGACATAAAGTTGGCAAAACCTAATTTAGCAAATGATTTGTACACTAAAGGTTTTCAAAGTTACTGAAAGATCTGTTAAACAAATAATCAGCTCTGTTATTAGCTGTTGGCTGATTAGCAGAACCATAAACATCACTGAAACTTTGTTTTTCCAAAATGAGGTTTGGGGCGCTATCTACAACAGGTGATATTTTAGTTGTTTGCAAGCATTTTACGGAAACACGTTTTTAAAAAAATCCTATCACTCTGAGCAGTTTTCCCATCTTTTGTCACGGAGCAGTTCCCAGAATTAACCCTCGTGTTCCAACTTCTTCTATTTTTAGAGTTTTGCTGGTGACTAATGACTGCAGCTGAGGATATTATGGTGTATCATTTGCAAGTCCTAAACTGTTGTACTTTCGCAATTCTTATCAAAGCTTTGCAATCTTGTAGAAGATTGTTACAAAGATGGTAGATTTGTCCCAGACCTGGTTCTTCCTGTTTGTCATCCTCCTACCAAAAACCACACTCTGCTCTTAGCTTTTACCTCTTTGATACAGTTTAAGTCAATGGTTTGATTGCCTTTCTGTCATCAGATGAATGAATCAAATCTTATTTATTTAAAATTCATTTAAAACAGCTGAGTTGACCTGAGCTGTACACAAAAAGAAGAGAAGGAATAGTTGAAAGACTAAAAAAATCAAATAAAAGCAGCTAAAGACATCTCTCTTTCTTAACAACCTGTCAAACTAATAAACCAAACAACAGTGATTTTTTTTCTGACAAAGTTCATTTAGGCCCAGGTTTTGTAAGCAGATGATTTAGCAGTCTGATCTTGAAGTAGCAACAACCCACCCATAATGGTGCGTTCACACCGAACGCGATTTCAGCTTCAAAATCGCAGCCAACGCTGAAGTCTGAAGCTTGTGCACTTTGAGGTCAGACGCAGGACAGTTGTTGAAGCGCCGCACGGCGACAGCCAAATCGTTCAAATCGCGCTGCTCTAATCGCGCTTGAGGCGCCGC